TATAAATATATAAATGATTCTTCAAATTAATTATATTTTATACTTACATTAGTGTGACATAATCCTAAGCGCTCTGTTCTGAGAAAGTGGTCATTCGTTCTATCATTTATATATTTATACTATGTTCCAAAACTTTTCAAAGAACATTTTACTCGGTATTATACTATTCTACCAAAAGAAGATCGATTGGAAACGTTTATAAAATTTTGGAACAAACACCGAATAAAATTTTCCTTGAAAATAATAATATAGAATATTTGAATAATTATTTTAACATTTGTTATTAAGTCATTTTAAATTTGCATAACTTAATTGAGGAAAATTCAGTTTCCAATTTCACATCTTATAACGATTTTTTAGGTTGATTATTGTGCTATCAATGGATACATCATAATATTACAAAATAAAATTCTAAATCCGTACTACAAGTTATCCAATATAAACAAAGGACTTTTCTCGTTCTTCAATTTGATCGAAATAAAAGCATAACATAACCTCAAATAATATTACAAGTGATTATATAAATATAACTTACATCCTTTCTGATTTGGAGCAGCTTCCTTTCACTCCTGATTTACACCCGATCGAGAGATTACAAATAATCCTTAAGTTACACTATCAAAATAATACCTACTGTTATAATTAACATGAAGTTTGTTCTTTATAATTGCAGTGGGATTGTATTATGGGTGCGTTCCGTTTCTTGTATGATGCGTATAGAAACATGGTAATTCGTTCCATTTCGCTTTATGCGCGCATAGTTCGACAAGCCATCAATACAAAGTTGCGTTCGAGAGTCCACACTGTGTGCATATCACTTGACACCAACTGCTCTGAAACACCCAGGCTATATTCGAAAACATCACTTTTTGGTGTGCTTTTGTGACTTCAGTGATTGAAGTTGTGAGGTGAAGGAAGCTGCTCAAAATCTAGAAAAAGAGATAAGTTATATTTGTGAAATCACTTATAATATTATACGTTATGTTATGCTTTTATTTCGATCAAATCGAAGATCGAGAAGACCTTTGTTTACATTTGACAACCTGTAGTACGGATTTAGAGTTTTATTTTGCAATAGTGTCTAGTAGTACACACACAATGTGGATTCCTGAACGCAACTTAGGTGTGTTCTTTTTTTTAAATGCTCTGTGATCGTCTTGACGTCAGAATAGTATCACAGCTGTTTCAAAATTATTTTGATACTGCCAGCTTTGTGCCCGATATTCATAGGCCGGTATTCATAGTCGGATCTTATATATGTCGCAGGGAAATAATGAAAATGGAGATTTCATCAAATCTCCACTTTCTACCTTAGGGATTTGATGAAATCTCCATTTTTATCATTTCCCTACGACACATATATAAGACCGTCTTAAGTTGTAATTAAGTTGGAAGTTGAAAATATTTATCTTCGCAAGCATTCTCCGCACACCTAAATTTTATTTGAAAGGAGATTCTTAATAAATAATCATTTTCGGAATCGGAATAAAATTGTATGTATATAGCAACAAATGAAATTGTTATTGTTGTTGTGTATACATAGTAATGTACAAATTTTATCACATCCGAATTTTTATCTCGCGTATTGCAACAATTTTTTATATAGCATGTTTTCCCATTGTACATCAATAGATTATGCACTCAACTTGTCACATGCATTATACACACACACGTACGGGTCAGGACTAATGTTTTCAGCCACGGTAGTTGACGCTAAAAAGAGAAAACACTGTCCCAGCTTAACTATCTCTCTCTGACCGTTCCGTATTGTGGAGGGAGTAAAGCTGTGTTCTTTCCAGTATAGTTACATTTCAATGGACGTGACACGCTAAACTACACTATTTCCGAACGGCTAGTGTGCTAGTGGTGTTCACATGGTGTGGATTCCCGAATGTAATGCACGTTGACTCATTTACGACATGGACAGTCAGGTATGTGGAGACGGCAGGTTGATAGATCTTATTGATGAAGGTTGGCGCAAAGAAAGATTGCCTATCGATGATATCTCAACACCAGTAGCTGAATTACCAGATCCCGAAAGTGATAACGGTGATTCTCACATGACATTGAAAGAGCTGGAGCAGAGATGGAACAATTTGGCATTGGGAACCCTTAGTGACAACCATCTGCATTCTCCGACTCCATTGCACAATTGAATCCTCTAATTTTCTGAACATATATTAGAAGAATCTCAATAGATTTGATTCTAAATTCTTCATATCTTTTATTACCACATTAAGATGGAATTTCCGAAGACTGGCAAACATTGTTCAATAAAAGGCTGCCAATTATTGGATTTTTTGCCATTTGTATGTAAACACTGTCAAGCTACTTTCTGTAAAGAACATTTTCACATGATATCACATGAGTGTCTAAAAGCAGAGAATCCAGAGCCAAGTTTGGTAAAGCTATTAAATTTCCTTTGCTCTAAAGAGTCTTGCAAGGAAATATCACCAATTCAGATGCCTTGTGTCAAATGCAAGCAACATTTTTGCTTGGCACATAGATATCATGGATGCTTAGAATTGAGCGAAGTGGAAAAAACTCAAAAATTGAAAAAATGGCAAATTCCAAAGAAACAGTTTGCAGAAGCAAAAGCCTTAGTAGATCAACAAATTACAGATAGTTTAAAAAAGTCCAAAAATACTGCAATGGCAAATAAAGTACTATTATAATATATCATATACAAAACAAATGTAATAAACCCCAAAAATTTTACAATTATTTTTTTATTTGTAGGTGCAACTTATGCGAGTGAAAGGATCAGCAATTGGTCCGAAAAATGTACCAATGAACGAGAGGTGTTACTTCTTTGTATATTTACCACTCATAGTTAAAAATAAACACATAGGTACTTCAAAAGGAGTCTTTGTCAACATGCAGTGGACAATTGGCAAATGTATAGATTCAATGGCTGATACACTTAAAGTTCCCAATAATAATGCAGCAACTACAAATAAGTTACAACTCTATCATCATTCTAATGGAGCTCTAATATGTAATGAGATGGATACACCTTTAGTAAAATTATTTAAGGATTCTATTATCGTCGATGGACAACAAGTTGTTTTGGAATATTCTGACAATGTACCTTTAGAAATATCGTTATATAAATAGATTTTACTTATAAGTATGCCTTGTGTATATCACTCTATTCTGTTGTAATAAACTACTACTAGTTCCTAATTATCTGTTATAGTAGCATGTTAATTACATTACATATCATATTACCGAAATAGTAGGTACATTCGGTACAATTATTATTCAGCGAGCGCTCAAGATTTATCGATATATACTTTTAGCATGCATATTAAAATTCGGAAGTATACAGCAAAAAATCTCTTGATTACTCATCGAATCATTGTACTGGCTGTATCTTATGCTTCTTTTCACACCACTTATTTATGAAACATATATTTATAGTTAATGTAGCTTTATTAGTAAAGGTAAGAACGCAGTTCTTTTAGAATACTTGTTTATTACAAACTAGAAGGTTCTATGTCAGTTTTATATTTATTCTTGACAAAGAGACACCTAAATGCATTAAACAAATTATTCATATCAGATTATTGTCAAA